TCTTTAATTTTTCTTCTATTTAACCATGCAGCTCGGACCGACGCTAGGATAAACTCTGAGCGAGCTCTGTTATTGGCTTCGAGTCAGAAGTGTCTGGAAGCCTTAATGAAAACCAAGTGTAAGGCAAGTCTCAGCCACCTGTCCCCGGGATCCCCAGGCAAGCGCACTGGGCTTCCATTAATCAATGGATTTGCCTCTTGGAAAGTGTCTTTTGCATGCTGGACCTCTACCCCGGGGCGATGGCAAAGCGGAGTTGGGGACCTGGAAGCCCGCTGGTAATTTCTCTAAGCCAGATACCAAAGCCGTGCTGGCATTGCCGGCAATTCTGCCTTTCCAAAACGGCTACAAAAGCCCTTGCAAGAAGAAAAAAGGGTAGGAAAAAAGCTCTTTCTGTTGCAGGTCTGCAGTCCTGCCCCCTCTCCCCAGGAGCAGCACCTCTCCCACCTCCCTACTTCCCAAAGATACTGTCTAGTTACTTTTCAAGGGGAATTAGCTTAGGGGAGAATTTTTTTTCTTTTTCTTACAGACATGAGCTGCTTTGATTGCCTGGAAGCATGATTTCCTGAAACCTGCTCCTTTCTGGCTCTTGCAGTGAGATTCACAATAAAATGTATTGTGGTTTTGAGCCAGGTTCTATTTAAGAAAATGCCATTCTGGGTTATTCTCTTTCATGAGGCAGATGGAGAAAGAGATGAAAGGCTGACACTTGGGATATTTAATTTCTGCTCTTTAATTGTGGGTGGTTTCTTTTCTATAAGAACAGGCTTCTTCCCTGGGAATCGATGGGAATCAGAGTGGAACAAAGGAAAAAAGGAAAAATAATGGCTGTTAATTGCTTTTTTTTTTTTCTTTATGAAGCCTTTCATCTCATTCTTCTAGGAGCAATTCTGTAAATGGGGATATATAAATGTACTGCTTTTATAGATCCAGGGACACTTCTTGTTACTCACTGCCTCCTGTGCAACGCTTGCTTCCGTGTAAGCCACGTTCCCTTCCAAGACAGGCTTGGAGCCTCAGCTCGCACTGATGGTATCAGGTGCAGCCACTGGGAACCACTGCAGAGTTGTGGTTTGGAAGATAGCACCCGAGCTGGGATGTGAACATGTACCATGTTAATGCTTCCACTAATTGAATATAACTTCAGGATCAAGCCCATGCAGTCACTGGTGGTTGGTGTCGCTTAGCTGACCGGGAATGCTGAAGAAGACATGTGCCGTGTAGCCCAGGCTGCAAAGCAGTCCCTGCTCTTGATGGGTGGTGGGGCTGGATGGGAGTTTTGCTTAGCGTGGTGTTTGGTTGCTTTCTAGGATGAAGATATCTAAGTGGAGGTGGAGCAACATCTCCATCAGTGTGCGATCCCAGCTGAAAGGCACCCTGGCCCTTCTTCTCGTGGGCAACGTTGCCTTTGTGATAGCTCAGGTAAGTGCGTCGTCTTGCTGGGGGGTCTCTGGGCTTTAAAATGCTGCAGTGTCTGGGATGGGTAACCCCTGGGACTTGCAGGACTGGTCTGCGCATGCATCAGGTCTCCAGCAAGCGTGAGGACGTATGACTTGGCTTAGCTCTTTAGTCTGGACTTAACCTAAGTTGTACCTGCTGTGGCTAAGAGTGTGGGCAGATCATTGCCAGGGCTCTGGAAGGCTGTGCCCTGCTCTTGGGTGAGCACCGCTTCCTCGGTCCCTGCAGTGGTTGGAGCTTTCACTTATTTTGCATGGAATGTTATTATCCCTTTCCCAGTAAACACAGAATTAATAGAACTGCCCTAACCAGCAGGTGATTCTGGATGTCAAAAACACATCCCTTCCCCTGCAATGAGCAATAGCTGGGGACCCCCCAGGAGGTTCCCTGCCCCTTGCAAAGGGATGCGAACGCCCTCCTGAGCGCAGGCGTATGGTGGTGACGCTGCCCGTGGAGCAGCTCCTTTGCCTTCTGCACGGTCACGCTGCTGCCTGCAGTGGCTGAGGGGTGGGAGGTGGGGGTGTCAAGGACCCTCCTGAAGTGACAAACCTGTGTTTGCAAAGAGAGCATGTGGGCTTCTCCAGCCTGCTAGCATCCGCTGGCGTGCTGTCCCGCTGCAGAGTGGTTTTGCAAGGGTTTGCTTAAGCTTTCAGTGAAGCCTTCAGCTGCAACTGGCTATTCGGCTCCCTGAATTCACTGTGGAGCAAGAGTCAGAGAGCACCAAAAGACTTGGAGGGTCTAGGGTTGTTTGGGAGCTCAGTTTTGCCAACTTAGCGAAACAATGAACGTTTCCTTTCCTGAGGAATCCTAAATGTTGCCATTTCATTCCAATCTGTAATGAAAACACAATTGGAAAAATGCAGGGTTTCTTGCAAGATGGAAATCTCAGACTTGACCTCAGATGGAGAAGGAAATGCCCTGTTCGCTCAGGGCAGGCTGGGCGGGGGACGCCCTCAGAGCTGTGCAGGCTCGGGGTGCGGGTGCCGACTGCTGCTTCTTTCCCCCACCTGCCTGGCGCTTCAAGCAGGACCTGACGCAGACCTCCAACAGCCTGGAGGAAGGGGCAGACGTCACCGCGTACTGGTGGGGCGAGTGGACCAAGTGGACGGCCTGCACCAGGACCTGCGGGGGAGGCGTCAAGTCCCAGGAGAGGCACTGCCTGCGGCAGAGGTACGGCGCCCGCCTGCCAGGGTTTGGGCAGCTCCAGCTTGCTGGAGGTAGGCTTGATCCAGGAGGTCATCGCTCGGTAGATAAGCACCGGTGAAAAGGTGGTGTCCGGCAAAGCCTGCTCGTGCAGAAGGTAAGTATGTCCTTGAGCACGCTTCCATGAGGATGCTGTGCCCTGGGCACCCCTGCCAGGAGGACCAGCCAAGCTATTCCTGTGCTGGCCCTGAAGTTTCTCCTGCGGGGATTAGTGCAGATGGGCAGCAGACGTAGCATGAGCCCATTCTCAAGGCTTCTGGGCAGAGCAGCGAGGATGCCGTGGTGCAGGGGTGGTTGGGGACCTGCTGATCCCGGCTGCTCTGTGCATGGCTCTGCCCTCTCCAGGCTGTGTGGTTGCCAGAAGGCGCCTTGCAAACCTTGTCCCCAGGCCCTCATCCCCACAATACCTCCTAGGATGCTGTAATGAGAATAGTTGATGCTGCAGGTAACAATGCCAGGGAGACCTTTGCTATCAACTCCAGTGACACTGTGATAGATCTCTGTGTGACTCTGATACATGGAGACTGATCTTGCAGAAGCAGGGGACAAATATATTTAAAAAAGGGAAATGAAGGGTTTCTGACCCCTGTCTAACCATCATTTCTTTATTCAGAAGAAAGTCAGTGAGTGGGCTGGCTAATAAAACTTGCACTGGAACATCCAAAAGATACCAGCTCTGCAAAGTACAAGTAAGGATATCCCTTTTCTCATCGGGAACGCTCGATACAAGATGTGGAAAGTCATGCTTGCTTTGTGTCATGGCACTTCTGGGCCCCTCGGAGAGGGGACACCATTTGTCCTGTAGCTGTCACCCCATTGTCCCTCCAAGCAACTGGAGTTCCCTTCTTTGGTGCCCATCACCATTGTGTCAGGGCTTTGGGCCTTTTGCCTGCGCTGGGGGCCATAAAATGCAGCGGGTGGTTCTTGCACCATCTCCTGGGGGGGGTTCCCCTGGCTGTCCCTGCAGTGGGAGGAGGAGGAGGATGTGGCTCTGGACAGGGCAGGCAATGGAAATGCTCCTTGCAGCTGGTCAAGATGTGCCAGAAACATTTCCCGCATTTTGTTTTCATCAGGATATTAATGTATCCCATTCTAGGAGTGCCCTGCAAACGGAAGGAGCTTTCGAGAGGAGCAGTGTTCATCATTTAACTCCCATGTGTATAATGGCAGAACGTATCAATGGAAACCTTTATATCCTGGTAACAAGACATTCTTTGTGTGTTTCATAATGCTTAGCCAAAATATTTTGATAGTTATGATGCTATAGCCCGCGGGAAGGCTCCTCCTCTGCTGTTTTAAAGTCATGTTTTTCAGAGACACAATCAGCTGTCTCCCAAGTTCAAAGGCGTGTTTTGCAGCTGCAGGGTAGCTTAAAAATAAAATAACAACATGAGTTTATGGCTGTAGCCTGTGTTGGTCACAGCTCCTAAGGACCAGAGAGCTGAAAGGCTGGAGGAGGATGCGAGAGCGTGTGGTGATGGACTGCACTGGCAGGGAGAGTCCGGCTCACCCGAACAAGCGTCCTTTGAGCTGGGGCCATTACTGGCTGTGTTGTGTTTCGGTGACATTTGCTCACTCCCACACCCTTCATGTGCTCTGTCAAATGTCACCGAGATGCAGTCAGCCAGTTTGGTCATCTGGGGTGAGCGACACAGAGCTGCAGAAATAACTCAGGAGTCAGAGACTGAGATCTTATTTAATTTTTAGGCACCTAACTCCCATCAAAATCAAGCATTAAACGAAAAATCAAGGCCGATTTTTTAGAGCTTTTGGGAACCCAGGACCCTTCTCCTGAGGACGAGGCTCCTGAGCGCTGGTTCTTCAGATTCACAGTGCCATTTGGGTGTCTAAAAATAGAGACAGGATCTAATGCAACTTTCATGTTTTAGGGGTCTCTGTACATACCTAAAAGCAGTTATGCTTCATGAAATGACTTGTTGCCTCCCTTTGTGTGAAACGAGCCCCTGTCTCACCAGCCTTCTTGGCAGGGTCAGCATGGTAGAACTTGGCCCATGGCAAGCTGGTTGGCTATAGCTACTTGGCTGCTTTTGTCCCTTTCCTATGGCAAGGTGACAATTTCTTTAAACATATTTGCTCTTTGAGATGATTCCCCAGAATAGTTACAGTGAATTGTTTTGGTTTTTAGGAGGCGTTCACGTGGCTCCTGGGGGATTTGCAGAATAATGTTTTGACATTGATGCTGTCTTGCTTGGGCACGCAGGCCAGTGGGTATATAACCGCTCACTAGTTGGCAGAGTTCAGCACTTAGCGTTGGGTTTCTGATGCAAATATGAATTTGTCATTTGCTTCCTGTGGATATTATAAAATGTGGGACTACTGTGCCAGTGGATGCAGCCAGCCAGTTGCCTGCAGAAGGCAAAGGGTGAACGAAGTCTGACTCGGGTGGATGTTTATGGAAAAGTTCTCATGTTTTAAGCTGCTGTGGTTTTGAATATAGTCTTACTTGTATATGTATTTATAACAATATATCTGTGTTAATTTAACTCATGTATTCAATGCTGATATGTGAACATGCATATGTCTGTGTAATGTGTGCATATATCACTGCTGCAAGTCCTTGCACAGAACAGTGGCTGTTACTGCTGCAGTGCATGCCCTGGGCTGATGTTAGCGATGCCGCGAGCATCGCTCGGTGCATCTGTTCCTGGCAGCAGAGAGGGCTGCCTGGCTGTGCAAAGGTTTGCAGCAGTGGGCTGTCACGCTGTCAGAAGCGCAATCTCCTGTCCAGCCTGAAACACAAGAGATGGCAGCTTCTGAACTGCTGGCTGCTGTGCAATTGTGCTGTTGCTGCTGTTGTTTAGCTTGGCAGAGATTCATTGACATTGGTAGGATGAAAGTTATTGTGTTTCTGCTGTTTTGAATGTATCTTTATATCCTTTCCCCTTAGATGACTATGTTCACATTTCTAGCAAGCCCTGTGACCTCCATTGCACCACTGTGGATGGTCAGAGACAGTTAATGGTTCAGGCTCGGGATGGAACATCCTGCAAATACACTGATTTCCGAGGGGTTTGCGTGTCTGGAAAATGTGAGGTTGTTAAACATTATAGCAAAAATATTGTTAGTAGCATTCAGAAAGTTACGGTGGGTGCGACATTTGCCTGACCTTCAATACTCTATTTGTGCATTTTTTAGCCGATTGGATGCGATGGCATTCTCTTTTCCACCCACACCTTGGATAAATGTGGAGTTTGCCAAGGAGATGGGAGCAGCTGCACTCATGTGACCGGCAGTTACCGGAAAGGAAATTCTCATCTTGGTAAGGCTTTTGGGGACCTTTTGCTTTATTTGTGTCAGAGGGCTATTTTTAAAATGTACTTATTTTTTGGTAAATTGCTTTCAGCTCTTACCGACTGCCCTGCTTCAGTTTTTCCCGCGTGTTCTATGTGTGTTAATGCTGCTTGTAAATTTTGGGCAGCGAAAGCCTCCTTTGAAGAAAAGCAGTAACTTTGCATGGTGCTTGTCAGAAGCCTGAGGTCTCTGATGCTGAATGGTGCAAAAGGGTTATGCAAGAGGCTGGCATCTATTTTCATCTTCTTTCGCATGACCCAGTAAGACTGGAAAGAAATGATTTGTAATAACAGGAAGCGAGGGTATTTTGAAAGACCAGGATTTCCAAAATTAGTGTGATGTAAAGCAACAGAACCTACTTGTCCTAAATATAGCAGTCTAACTCGGGAATAATGAGTTAATGCTCTCTGAGGATGAGTTTAAGATGGAGCAAGCTGCAGGAACTTCAGTGGCCTTAGGAGGACTTGTCCCATCACTTACCTAGTGCTAAGCAAAGGGCAGTCGGAGGAGAAACAAGCCGTAATCTCTTGCTGGGGTTTTGGGAAGACTGGCTAGCACAGGGTTCAATACTGAACTACAGGGTAGCTTCCCTAGCTGACAAAGCAGTCTTCAGATACCTTTTCTTACACCAGTTTAGCCAAATGTGGTATTTGTGCATGTAAGGGTTGCATCTTTTTTTGCCCCCCTTGGCTGTGTTTTTCCATGATAAACCAGGATGCATAGTTCACACATTTTTCTTTCTTGTTATCGATAAGGTCCTGTTTGCAGCCTAACAGTTATCAAAACTATGGGTTTTTTTAATCCATAACTCCTTAAAAATAATTTCCGATCAAGGCCAGTTTGCTTGATATATTGCAGTATTGACTACCGAGTGTTTCGTTCAGATTATTTGTTACAAAGTTCCTTTCATTAATCTGTAGTTTCCCATAGGCTATTCTCTGGTAACGCACATTCCTGCTGGAGCAAGGGATATCCAGATAGTAGAACGGAAAAAATCTGCAGATGTTCTGGGTGTGTATAACCTCTTGGTACTTCCCTAGAATGCATGCCTATACTAGCTAATGCTTTTTCCAATGCGAAGCTGAACGTAGTTTTATTGCAGACATGAGCTAAATCCATAGGCAATGTAAATCACAATCGCGTTGTCTAAGCCAATGCGTTTCTTTCTGCAGTCTGAGCACCTGGGCTGTATGTATCAATGCTTTGATTGCTTTAATGCAGAAACTGTTGGTCAATATTATTGCTACTTCAGTGTGGTATGACAGACACACTGGTGCTGGATCACAGATAGCCAAGTGACTTCACCTCTCTTGTGATCCCCTTGATCTTCTCTTGCTTGGGGAATGTGCAATGGCCACATGACAACAGCACCAAGGAGATGTGACCTATGTGTTGCCTTCCAGAAGTGTCGGCGGCCACGCCATCCATCTCATGATGGAGATGGCAGAGCTGCTCAGGAGGAGTGTGGAAAAAAATCTGGACTTGCCCAAGAGAAGCTCATTTCCTACCATCATGCTCTGCTGCCTCAGAGGCTCGTGCCCGTGTGCAGGAAGGCATGAATGAAAAAGCCTTGATTTAGTACAGTCCCCGGGCTAGCTCTGGATCACCTCTCTTGGGCCACTGCTGGGTCAAGTGGCATCAGCTCAGTGCTCCCAAGGAGACAACTCCTGCTGTTGGCCACCTGACAGTCTGCTTATTGTCTGCAGAGCTGTGATTATTAAATGTTCATGCTGTGCTAGCACCCAAAGGGTGAGAGGAGCCATGGACTAGTGTAAGCCGCATACCCAAGAGCTTGCAGTGCAGAGGGGTGCATGGCCCAGAACTCTGGGCACGTACTTGCATGATATGTGTTGGAAATAGGTGACAAATGCATCGTAATGTAGGAAAAACACTTGTTTTAGGACTGTGACACTCTAATAATTTTATCCCTGGAATGAACAAGTGGCAATGTTGCATACCTCTGCTCTTACATGTGATGGCACTGATTTTTCTCTCTCATTTGAAGCTGTGGCTGATGAAGCTGGGTACTATTTCTTCAACGGGAACTACAAAGTTGACAGTCCAAAGAACTTCAACATTGCAGGCACGGTGTTCAAGTACCGCAGGCCCATGGATGTTTATGAGACTGGCATAGAGTATATTGTTGCACAAGGACCGACAAATCAAGGGTTGAATATAATGGTGTGCTTTGACTTCTTCAAGTTTGCAAGTCTGGGGGTGATGGGGAAGGAAAAATCTATGTTGGAGGAAGGGGTGGGCATGGGAGCAGAGTCCTGCCATGGTTTCCCAGCTTTCCTGGGCAGCTTGAGGAAGGGAGTGGGAGCAGTGACTGTGCCCAGTTCCTTGCAAGAACCTATTTTATTTGCATCAGTGCTCTCAGATGCCGGCAAGGCTGTGAATAATGAACGTGGGCTTGGTAACCCCTCTCTCTGCAGGGAGAAGATGCTTTAGGCACTGTGGGAGGATTTTTCTTCTACTCCTTGGCATTTTTATCCAATTTACCTGGCAGGAAGAGTAAAAATAAGAAATTGGGCCAGACAGCTTAGAGAGGTGCACAAAACTTAAACCCCAACTCTTTCTTGGAAAGCAAACCATCTAAAACTAGGCATATGAAGAGAAGTCATTTATTTTTTCTTCTGGGCAGCCAGCCAGAGCCCAACCTCTGACATCTCCCATGTAGCCCTGGGCTCCTCTGGAAGGGAAAGGGATGGCTGCTTGGGGGCTTATAAAGCATTGGACTGGTAAAAGATGTTGTAGTGTACCAGCTGTGAGTCCCCATCCCCAGTGGGGATGTAGTAGGTGAAGGGGTGAGTGTGCATGCTCCTCATTCACCATAAAGCCACAAAAAATGGGTTTGCAAGTGACGGTCAGTAACTTTTTTGAAGTGGCTCTCCCAAGTCTCCAGTTGCTCAGCAGCAGAGGAGGGAGCATTACCTGCAGCTCCCACCCCCTGAACGGGTGCTAATCCCCAGGGCAGTGCTGCCAAATAACCCTTGGAAAATTGTGCTGGGCTCCAGCTGTAAGAAGTTGGCAGTACGATGGAAAACAGATTGGAAATAGCAAAGTAGATGCTAACCAACTGACAAGTCCAAGATGAATCACAAGCTTTGCGTGCCATATCCTCATTGCATCCGCTAATAATTTAATTTGTTTGCTAGGTTTGGAACCAAAATGGCAAGAATCCATCCATCACATTTGAATACACCCTCCTGAGGAAGCCACACTCAAAAAATCTGCAGCCCATCTACTACACCTTCTCTGAGTCAGATAGCGAAGAAAGCAGAGAGTTTGATGGAGACGTGCCATTGGGTTTTATCCAGCACAATGCAACCTATTTTGGGAAAATCTCCAGGGAAAGGATAGACTTGGAGAACCAGGTGTTTGGAAGGCAGGACACGGAGGAAGATATAAACTTGAGCAAAGGTCAGGAAACCAATGAGGTCTATGAAAGAGCAGAAACAATTGACTGTGAGCCAAAACTGAAGGGCAAACAACCCCAAGGTAAGGAGGAGACTTGGGCCTCACTGTTCTGCTTCTCAGAGCTCTTGTTGGGAAACGCTCTGTTTCTACCTCTGGTGATTCTGCTGGTTTGTTTTTTGGAAACCGTGGAAAGTTCTTTAAAATGTCTCTGCTCATAAATCCTCTTTGCCCTTCAGGTTCTGGTTTCTGGCGGGTGGGGGGGTGGCCATGGGTAATGTCTCCCTGCTGGTGCCCTGCCATGCTTTGCCTCATGCCGAGGACAGGAGGGAGCCCTGGGTGCAGAGGTCCCTGTCACAACACCTTCCATCGCCTCCCACCTCTGCCCAGCCCCCAGCAACCTCCTTCCCACTCCAGTCCCTTGGGCATCCCACCACCAAACTGCCTTGAGTGCTTTCCCAGCATGACTGCATGGGCTCTGGGGCCAGGAGGGCATCTTCCTTTCTGACCTCTGCTACTGCTTGGGGCAGTGCTGGCAGGTGCTGAGCTCTGCTCTGGCCATGTGATAGCAGGATGAGACCCACAGAGCTGCACACTCTTCCCAAAGGGGTACAACCCCATGAGATTCCCCCTCCCTAAGACCCCAACTCCTGCCTCTCGCCTCCCGGGTGGCTGCTCAGGCTCTGGCGTGCCCCTGCTGCTCCGGGCTGCTTTCGCCTCCCAGCCTGAATGCATTTTGTGGTTGTCACTGTTGTTTCCCCCTGTTGGCTCCAATCTAGATTCAAACGTAACCAGGTCTACTTACCAGACAGACCATGACGACAGAGACTTTGACCCCAGGTTCACCTCCAGGGAATTCCTTTCGGAGAACGCCATCACGGACAAGTTGCTGGACAAGACCTCGGACTCCAAGGAGTTGGTGCTCAACATGACCATGAACAGCATCTTTGCCCAGGGAGACCCAATCAACTCTGTGGGGTCGCACATTGACAGCCTCTATGTTGACTACGAGGACACTGATGGCGTTGTGACCTACACCATTAATAGCACCTACATGGAGCTGAGCAATGGCAAAGCCATCAACACGTCTGCAGAGACGCCATTTTCAAATGCCACTGTCACCATGACCAGCCCTCAAGGGAACAGAACCCACAAAGCAAGGTAGGAGATGTCTTTAACTATAGTCAATCCTATTTGTTGCTATTCTTGACTTATAATAGCCCTGTACTCAATGCAAACCCCATTGCATGGTTTCTATCTGCTTTGGAGGTCAGAAGGTAAGTGGGGGTAGGATGATGTATGTGAAAGCTTTCTGTCGGGGGTTAATTTGGAAGGAAGGGCCAGAGGTTTGGGAGCAGAAAGACAAGAGAGCATTTAAGCAAGAGGAAAACTCGCTGCCCTCCTTAGTGGGGATGTTGGCAAGTCCCTGCTGATGGCTGTCAGCTTGTGCATTGCTCTCTGCCTGTCATAGCTCATTATCAGAGCCATGGCCATAAAGAAGCCTCTTCCTTTTGTCTTCTCTTGACGCTCTGCTCTGATTCCCCAGGCCCCTTCCTCTGAGTTCTGATGCAGCAGAAGTTGGTCCTGGCCCCTTTTTAACCCACCCTGTTGACTGCCACCCACGATCCTCCTCAATTGTGTCGGCAGGAACATGCTTCCAGCAGCTCCCAGGCATGGCCCTGCCTGCTTAACTACTGCTGGAGAGGCAGAGCAGGACAACAGGAGCTCTTCTGTAGGGCCTGCAGAAACAGCCTGGGTTTGCCACCTTGATGGATGCAGAAGCAGTGCAATTAGTCACTGCCTTGACAAGAATATCAAAAGCTCTCCAGTGGCAGCTCACTGATTGATATTAGGGCTGTCACTTCAGGATTCCTCGAATGGCTGTTTTGGAGTGATAGTGTTAAAAATGTAGTGGGAAGGTAAAAAAGGCTTAATCTCTTCTTAGCAGCAGAATTCATCCAGGCAAGGATAGGCTGAGTGAAAGGGAGTCTCAGGATAGTGCTGGTCCACAAGTTTGTGTCTAGGGTCTTTTGGGGTGTGCCCTGGGGCTCTCTGGGGAGAGCCACAAATTAAAGCAATCTCTGGATAGCTGGGGCTGAAACTGGGGCCTTGGGAGTCATCCAGGTCCCAGACCCATGGCTGTGGATTTGGGTCCTGCTCTGCACCCCCACGACTTGTTCGGGGCTCACGGCACCAAAGCCTCCCCTGTGGGTCTGCTCCTGGCTCTGCTTTGACTCTTCTGTCTCCCAGCCTTCACCACCAGTAAAACGTGGGTTATGATGCTGAGCTTCAAAAGACGTAAAGCACTGAGCAGATGCTCTCTGGTTATAGTTAGCTGTATTTACCCAGAACTTATACTAGCTTATGCTAAAGCAACTTGTGCTAAAGAAAATGTCCATGCAGCCAAAGGTATCAACAAACTTCTTAATGATAAGAACATCAAAATATTGCCAAGGGCTTGAGTCTATCATCTCCTCTTGTGGCTTGGCTTGGAAACTTTGCCTTCATCTGCCAAAGCAGGCATTTCATTAACACTCTGACAGGCGAGGACAGAGCCCTCAGCTCCCCTGCCTTACCGTGCCTTACCGTGGCGGGGAGGAAGGGGCTGCCCTGTCCCTTGGGGCTCTCCTCATCCCCACCACGCTCCCTGTACCCGCACCCCTCTCCCAGTAGCTGTTAAAGGGGTCTAATGCTTTCCCACCTCCTGGGAATCCAGGGACCTCTACATGCTTTGGACTTCAGAGCAGCTTGGCTGGTGCAGGATAATCACAAAAGACTTGCAGTGCAGGTTTTTTTGTGGTTAAAAAAAAAAAAAAAAGCTCCTTGCACTATCCCTGACTGCCCCTCTACTGAAGACATGGGGCAGGTTTTTAAACCCCTTCAGGAAGGATACCCAGTATTGCCAATTTTTTTCCCATTCTTCCCTTGGTTGTTTTACAGTGTTCCCTCTTATTCCCTGCCCCCCCGCTCTAGAATACAAGATGAACTTTTCAGATCTAAATATTAATATCCAGAAAAGGTGTTTAGTTCAAGTTTTGCACTAGCCAAAAGGCTGCATCCAGGCCCAGCTGGGACTGTAGTGTGGGCTGAGAGATGCTCAGCTCCTCCGTGGCTGCGGCAGGCTGGGCTCAAGGGACCGTAGGTGCGGCTGAAACACCAGTGGAGGCAGACGTGGGGCAGCTGGGGTGCAGGAAACATGCTGTTTGGGGGTATGTAACTTTATTAAAAAAAAAAAAAAAAATAGGGGTGGTGGTGAGAGGAAGGCAACAAAACAACGTGCACCTCATTTCAAGAGGCTTCACCCACTGCATGGAGGCATTGCTCTCCACCCCGGCAGTTCAGCAAGTCCCATAATGTCATCGGCAATTAAAGCGTCCGCATGTGCGGGCCCTTGCAGAGGAGGGAGGGACGGGCACGGTTGCAGGCTCCGGGTCTGGCTGTTCTGCCACCACCGCAGGGATGGGCTATCCTTGCTTCCAGGGAACGGGGCAGAAGGGACTGTGTTGGGACAGCCTGTTTGTGCCCGGGCTTTTATTGCTTCCCCCGACTTTTTATTTATTGCTTCAAGCCCAGTTGCAATTTTAAGTCTAATAACTAATCTGTATCTCCTGGGTGGGAATGATGGATGAAGAGCCCCAGCTCAGCTCCCTGAGGCCAAGATTAAAGCTCCTGCTGGCACCCAGCACAGCAGGATAAAGCCCATACTGACAGCAGGGTGCGGTTTTGGGTTTGGCGTATCATGGGCAGGGTGCTGGAGCATGAGGCGTGTGAAGAGCAGTGGGGGTTGGACTTGTGCCTGCAGGAGGAAGGGCGATGGAGGGGACAGCCAGAAGCTGCGCTCAAGGGAATGGTGGTGGGGTGCAAGGGAAAAGCTCTTGCCCTGGGCGTGGGGCAGGGTGGGGGATCTCCATCCTTGGAGGTGGGCAAAGCTGGACTGTGCAAGGCCCTGCGGGACCCAGTCTCTTAGTGGGGTCAGCCTAGTTCTGGGCAGGAGCTTGGACTTGAGACCTCCCAAATCCTTCCCAGGCTCAGTTTGGGATGGATGGTGGCTTTTTTTGCTCATTTTCATTCCCTGAGAACAAGCAAGGGAGGATCATCTCTTCACAGACCGTAACCAGCCAGTCTGTACACGCAGGACAGTGCTGGTTAGCAGTGGGGCACTTTCTTTCTTTCTAAACTCTTGTAGTTCTTAGTGTAGATGGAGTTACCCAGTTATAGGAGCACCTTGCACCAGCATGGCGTGTTACATTCCTCTCTCGGAACAGGCCCCGCTGGGACAGGAATGGGCAGGTGGCTCTTGTGCCGTGGTGGGGATGCATTGCTGCTTTTCCTCTCCCGGAACAGTTAAAGCCTTGCCATGGCATGCCAGGGCAGATCCAGGCACCCTTTGTCCTTCGTCCCATGCCGCAGTGTGCAGCCAGGGCTGATCCTGCAACAGGAGCCATGCTTAAGAATAAAAACTGAAATAAAACACAAATGTGAGCCCAGCGACCCTGGATGTTGATCTGTGGTGTTTATGTGCACTTGTTAAGATTATTCTTCTGCTATGGGGACTGTTTGGGCAAGACAGGCAGCCTGGACCTCAGCTGGGGGTGAGGGACTGGTACTGATTTTTGGTGCAGTTGTTTGCTTGAAAAGCAGAAGCAAAGTGCAGACAGGGAAGAAAATACATGATTTTTGTTGTAAAGCTCCTAATAAAGAGCAAAAATAAAAGAAAAGAGGAAAACCCCATCAGCTTTTTAGGACAATGTGCTGCTGTTTTGCATTTAGAGGAGAACAAAATGACAGTTTTGTCTTTGCTTGAAATGGTAAGAGAGCTGAACGCTGCCCTGTGACCAAATGTCTGATTTATCTGGAAAGAACTTGTCCCTGCGACCTCGTTACACATAGAAGCAGCTCTTTATTTAGGATCACATACATTAAAGGGACACCGTTGAAAGATTTTTCTGTCCTCAGCTGTAGTAAAAAGTTTATTTTGAAGCTTATTTTCTCCTTTTGAGGGAGAGGAGTCCCGGTCACAGGATAACTTGGTATTTTTTTGTGCCTCAGACAGCAGGGCATAGACCGGAGCATCTAGGTAATACTCTGTTTTCCAGGCAAATTAAAGTACGAAACCCAGATGTTGGCTATGTTTTAATGGCTTTTACTGAAAACTGTCATCTTGTGAGCCCTCTCCTGGCTGGGTGGCAGCAGGCAGCGCACCGACGGCAGCCGGGATCAGGGGCTGGTGCGGGTCCCCAGGCAGAGCTGTTTTGGCAAGATAAAGCACTATTTATAGTGAGCAGAGGTTGTTATTTTTCCGCAAAAAATAGTCACATTCATTTCAGTTCCATTTCAAACGCAGGAAGCGACCATTTGCCAAACTGACAGAGCAAAATCAACAGGGAGAATGAGATTGTTGTTGTTTTTAATCCTTCTGGAGGCTCAGTGCTGGCGGTGGAAGGAGGGTGGGTCCAAAAGGAAACGGCTGGATTCTCAACAGTGTCCTTTTAGAGGTTGATTTGATAGACTGGACCTCAACTTTTTCTTACGAACAACTAAATAAGGCAATTTCAGAGCTTCTGCTGCCTAGAAATCATACAAGCTGCATATCTCGCCAGGCCAGAGACAACTGGATGTCAGGATACAACCTTGTACGCTATTTCAGTGTAGCCGTTTCAAGGGTTTGAATAAAGGTATGAGAACAGAATTGAAGCCTCTTGTTGTAAAGGTGCAGTATCCCTGATGTGTTACAACCTTGCAGCATGTAGGATGCACTGAACCGGGAGAAGCTGTTATTCTTGCTTTGACGAATGCTTTTTCGTACACCAGGCTGACTCCGTTACTCCTTTCCCGATGGCATTATGTGTTTGAGCATAGCGTGGATACGAGAGATGCAAATTGCCGATCTAAAATAAACCCAAATAAACCAAAACTGAACAAGAGTGGCAAAAGCAGCGGGTAGGCAAATGGCATGCCTTGGTGTTTAAAAGGAGCGTGCTTTGAGAAGCAAGCTTATAAACTCCTGTGCCACATGTAGGCTTTCGGAAGGAGCGAGCTGCTGAGATTTGAGCAGCCGAAAGCTCTGCCGCGTTGAGCAGCACGAGTCGCCGTGCCTGGCCCTGGAGACGCAGGGGAGGAGATACTGCACCTTTAGTCGCTGTATGCCGAGGGCCAGGTGTATTTGAGCAGAAAATGCAAACTTTGTTAAATTCTGAACTGTTTCTACTTGTGGGTATTTTTATCCCATTCTCTCTATTTCTAGACAGTGGAAGCTCTGCCTCTAACCGGGCTGGGGATTCTACTTGGGGCTCAGGACAGGTATGTTGTGAAACAAACCAAACCAATTCAAACAAACAAACAAACCCCAAAAAATCAGAAAAACCAAACCCAACCGCCAAACAAAGCAAATCCCCTCCCAAACCCGAACCCAACCGAACTGCAGCCTGCTGGCAGATGTGTGTGTCTGACGTGGCCTATCACCGCTCGCCTTGTAAATGCCTTTTTTTTGTTTTGTTTTGTTCTTTTTTTTTGTTTGCTTATCGCTAGAAACAGATTGAAGTTGTTAAGAAAGGGCCAAGGTGTGAGTGCTGCTGACATGTACAGGTGGAAGCTTTCCTCCCATGAACCCTGCAGCTCTACATGTACCACAGGTAGTTATAAGAAGCAGCCAAATTCTGCACAACCGCTGAAATCACCTGGTGTGTGAGTCACTTTTATGTCTGTTAGGGATGGGAAGGACCTGGTGATGCGTAGGGGATCTTGTGATCTCTGGAGCTGGTTTAGCACAACCCCGAATCTGCTCCACCCAGGTGCAAACACGGGGAGAGGAGCCGGGGTACACGGCGCGCAAAGCCCACCACCCTTGCGGGCGCGTCGGGGGCCGGGTGCTGGTGCCCACCGTGTCCGTCAGCCTGCAAAACACTTTTCCTTGGGGAGCTCTGAACATCGCCTTTGCTTGCCAACCCCGCGGGGACGTGCTGGGGCTCGGCAGGATCCCCAAACCTGTGCTGAGTCTCAGTATGTTGCCTCTTCTTTTTTTTTTTTTTTCTTCCTCCCCTTTTTGACTGTTCAGAGGGGTTTGAAAAGCTCAGCTGCTTCCCCACCGAGTGAAATTTTGAAGATTGTTCAGCTCTGGCAGGAAACAAAATAGCATTTGGCTTTTTGATTTTTGTTTTGTTTCTCCCACTCCTTCTACCCTGCAGCCTGATCTCGGCTGCAAGGGTGTAAATCTGGAACGGCGACTTAGATGCCAGGAATATCGAAACCAAGCCTGTATTCTTTTTGCCCCCCGAAAAGCTTCAAGTCACCTGATCTCTCTCCTCCTTTACTCCTTGATTAGGGGATCCTGGCCCCTGCGAGCCCATCGCTCGTGATGAAGCATGCTCGCCTGCACCGCTCCCCAACGGCACCGTCCCTGAAATAATCCAGATCCTGCGGTGCTTCTGGAATTAGAAAGAAGGCAAAAAAGGGGAGAGAGGAGATTGCGATCTAAGGGGCGTCTCTTAAAAGGGCAAACGCAGGGATTTTATTTTTTTAAGCATTTGTTCCTGTCCAGTAGACACACGGCCGCAGTGCGCCAGCAGCAGGAGCTTCACAAGCTGTCCCTGTCCCCGGGATCTCATCAGCCACGTGGTCTGGGACATTTTTAACTTCTTTGATCCCCTCTGAACAAATTTCCCCCTTGACTGGGCCAGGCTGCTCTGCCCCGGTTTGCAGCTAGCAGAGAGAGGTTTTACTTAAATTTCTCCTTTCTCATTGCCTTTTCTTAATGACATATCACAGAGAAGCAATACCATGTCAAGAGCTGTAGATCTTTTTTAGTTTCATGTAAACCATATGTTCCCGAGAGCTGCAATTCTTGTTACCTGTAGCCAGAGCAGCCTCCTGGTCCCCAGCCAGGTCCCAGAATGGGCTTCACAACATTTACTCTGGCACGGCAGGCTGCGGGGGAAAAGGTCTTGGTCTGACAACACTGGCTGCCTGTGCTTTCGGTGGGGGAGCAGGAGGGGCAGGTGCCTCCTTGCAAAGCCCCCAGGGAGCCCTTCCTTGGTCCGGAGGACTGGGTGCACATGGGGGGCACCCAGGAACAAATGGGTGTAACGCATAGCGTGGGCGGATGGAGTGGGTTGGGGACCGTTTTCTGTCGCCTCCACCCACGAGCCTGGCAGGGTGGGAGCTGCTGAGCAGACTTGTTGCCCCGAGCATTTCCTATAAAAATGTGTTAGTCATATATTGATCTTGGTGGCAAGCCCTGGCAGGGGTGGCCGTGCCCGCCTTTGGAGCTGGCCAAACTCAGCTGCGCTGCCTGTGTTGGCTGGGTGGCCGCTGTGGTCCTCCCCTCCCAGCAGCATCCACCCCGCGGGCCAGAAAGTCTGGCTTGCTGCTTTCCATTGGGAGAAAGTTTTGGAAAATGCAGCTCAAAAAAAAAAAAAAAGAAAAACCCAAGAAAAAAAAAAAAAAAGAAGAGTTTGGATGTCAAAATCACCAAGCGTCCTCTTGTGTGTATGTATTCTCTTTGAAACTAGGAGTGATGTCCACATATGCTATGTGTGTTCGCTATGATGGGATCGAAGTGGATGATACGTACTGTGATGCCATGACCCGTCCCGAGCCCGTCCATGAGTTCTGTGCTGGGAGAGAGTGCCAGCCAAGGTACCACCTCGACAGAGCGCTCCTGGGGGGCTCTGTGCTTTCTTTGCCATGGATGTATTTGGGGGAGGGAGTCGGCGTGGCTTTGGAGGGGG